GCTCTCTTGTTGCTGTGCAGACTGCTGCTATCTTATCTGGAAACAACCTATGCTTGAGTATGCTCCCCCTTTACTCTAGTGAGACAGACCTTTCTTGCCCACTTTCTAAGTTGGCCTGGCTGGAAAATTATTTGACCCCATCCCATTGTTGGTTTTGTCGCTCTTGAATTCATTTTGAGGCATAATTCTACAGTTGCTTTTAGGAGAATTTGGGAAACTAAGGGCAAGCTCTTGCCTTACTCTGTCATTTTAACTAGATTTTGCAATATTTTAAAAGAACTTAAAGTATCAAACATTACCAGGGTTTATTTCTCATCTTGATTTTAAAATAAATTTGTCTCTAATTTTAATATCACTCTGTGTTATTCTTTGACTTCAAAGAGATATGAAAACCAATTGTGGTTGACTTTGAGGAGAATACCAGGCAAAACATTGCACACCTTGGAAAAATACTCAAATGAGGTGAGGGAGACCATGGCAGTTTGAAATATATATATACAGCATCATCTAGAGAAGGTAGAAAAGGTAGATTCAATTCTATTAAAACTGTTGAAAGAAGGAAGACACAAAAATTCTAAATGCACTCTAGAAGTGAAAGGAACCTTAGTATTTCATAGGATGAGGACTACAGGAGCAGTTTCAGAAAAAAAAGAAAGTAAGGCCAAGAGAAGAGGTCACTAGAATCTCAATAAACATTGACAGTTAAATCATCAGTGATTCATAGCAGCAGTCAACAGTGTGGATTCAAAGGATCTCATATATATGTGACTAAAAGATGATGATGTGGATTTCATTGCTGTCCTGGACTGTGTTCCTTTGTCCAAGTGACCATGATGATCCAGTCATTGTATGGGATATATTTGAAGCAAATACCCATATAGACTCTTGTAAGTTTTGGCTGTAAAGCATTATGTGACAAAAATTATTTATTTTTAGGGTACATTGGAGTGAGCTTAGAATTCCTTCAATATTTTGCTGCTGCAAATGAGGTAATGGACATTTAGATTCTGTTTTATCCTTAGCCTTTATATGTCAATAGAAAGTCAGCTCTAATTGGAGTCAAAATGAGCCTGGTAGAACACCTCTTTCAACGATATGGAGCTCAATATTGGCATGTTTGATCACTTCTGCAACTTGGAAGGACAGATTTAAGTGGTGACTGTGATTCTTTTAAGAGCCTGATTCCCTTCAACCAATTTATTAGCCCCTGGAGATATTTTGCTTTGGGGTGTCTAACAGGCTAGGTGATGAGAAAGAGAAGTCTGGGCAGAATCTCAATAAGAAGACTGATAAGTTCTTACAGCATCATGGTGATATGGGATGTGCACAAAGAGCAGTCCACAAAATCCAGCTTTCTGAATCATGGCCAATGTGTTGCTCAGCTGAGGGAGAAGTTGAAAAAATAACTTTGTATCTGGCTTCATCATCATACAAGAAAAATAACCAAAGAAATTAATATTATTCTACTTTGCTTTCCTGTCGATATGTTTCACAAGGTGACAGTGTCTTGATAAGTAATTTTGGTGGTAATCTAACAGAGAAGTTAGCAGGCCAAGGGGAAACTACTTGGCACCTAGATGTAGAGAAGCATGGCATCATATTACAGGCAGGCAAAAATTTTATCATTCAGACAAATGTCCATGAGCATATATATCATGTGAAGAAGATTGTAGTTACTATGCCCAAATAAACAATTAAAACAAGGGAAGTTAGTGTCAGGATACTGCAATTGACAAGTACTCAGCTAAGCTCTCTCAAAATCCCCTCTAGACAACTCTAAAATGACACTTCAAAACAAGTTCTAGAGTGGCAGAAGCAACAAATATTTCAGCAAAAAATTTTCCAGCTCAGAACAATTTAAGTGGTCTGTAAGAATGGTTATTTTTCCAAGTTAGTTACAAATTGATAAATGGTGAAAGGACATGAAGAGCCAGTTTACAGATGAAAAAATGCTTGAAATCACTATTGATCACAACAACTTTGAGGTACCATATCACACCTGCCAAATAGGAATATGATAAATGTGGGACAGTTGTGGGGAAATTGGAACACCAATGAATTCTTGGTGGAGTTATAAACTGATCTAACCATTCTGGAGAGTAATTTGGAACTATGCCGAAAGGGCAACCAAACTGTGCGTACCCTTTGATCCAGCAATACCACTACTAGGTCTGTATCCCAAAGAGATCATTAAAACAAAGGGAAAACCATCCATAAGTACAAAAATATTTGTACCAGTTCCTTTTGTGGTGGGAAAGAATTGGAAATTAAGGAGATGACCATCAATTGAGGAAAGCCTGAACAAGTTGTGGTCTATGAATGCAATGGAATATTATTGTTCTATAAGAAATGATGAGGCTGAGTCAAGATGGCAAAATAATAGCGAGGACACACTTGAGCTCTCCTCAAAACCCTCCAAATATCTTTAAAAATTGTTGTAAACCATTTCTAGAGCAGCAGGATGAACAAAAAGGCAGAGTAACCCAAATTTCCATCCCAAGACAAGCTGAATGGTTGATTAAAAAGGTCTATTGTGCTGGGCTGGGAGAAGAGCACAGTTCAGCATAGGGGTGCAGGCAAAGACCAGGCCTCAGGGTACAGCACAGTTCAGTGTGGTCCACCCTGGAAAAGACAGGGACCCAGCAGGCCTGGATGAGGTCCCAGGGGACTGAATCATGGGCAGCTGTGGCACTTTCCAGACTTCTCAACCCACAAGCACCGAAGACAACTTAGAAGGTAAGTAGGAAAGATCTGTGACCATGGTGAGAGAGAAGCTCAGTCCCAGCACCGGTCCCAATGCAACCCTGGGGCAGGGGCTGCTTCTACAGCTCTTGGCCCACAGAAATGAGAGGAAAGTTGCAGGATAAAGGGAGGTGCCCAGTGGGAAGTTGATGGGAAGACAGAGACAAGAGTCCCCCAGGATGGGCATCTGAGCATAATCTACGGAGAGAAAGCCCACAGTGAGGAGACCATTGATTTACTGGGGTTTCGTGAGTCTAGTCTTTAATGCCAGCATAATGCTTGACACAGTGTCAGGACGTGATGAGTGTTTATTACAGAAATATTATTGAACCAGGATGTTGGCTTCATGAGGATGAGAGTGAAGAGTCTGACTTAACCCCAAATCAAGCATGACAGTTGCAGTATGAGAAAAGTGATTAGTTTTCTATTACATTAATTGGTTGGTTGGTTGTCCTTCATTCTCAAAGAAGACTAAAATGACAACGCTATGCTAGAGTCCAATTTCACTGTGTCCAATTGTGGCTGATCAGACCAATATGACCTCAGAATATTCTACCACAGGTCTGGCACAAAGAGTCCTCGTGAACATTTGGGGTGCACTCTCTAAATTTGCACATCTCATGCTTCTTCTGAGCTATTTCAATTCTACTTTGCTCATAGAGCACAGTACCTTCTCTGATGTGGGCATGCCATGAGGATGGTTATTGTACTAATAACCAATTATTCATTTTAGGGTCCAGTTGTTTTTCTTTTTCTTTCAATTCTGTATTCACGGCCCACCCCACCCCTCTGTCTACTGCTTGATAAGGTGGCCCCAAATCTTCCCCACCCATGAAGAAGACCTCATGTCTATTTAGAATGTAAACAAAATCAAGAATTCCAGCCATAAATCACTAGGCTTATGCCCTTGGAATCCCCCCCATTGGAGTTTAGGGCAACTCAGCATATGAAGAAGAGTATTCATACAACGTTTTGGGCGGGGATGGATTCCAATGTCGAGATTGCTGGAGGTGGCTGAGCCTCATGATCAAACCACATCCTCAGCAGGAGGGGCTGAGGGCTGTTAGCCCACCTCCTCAATTGAAAAAGTTCCCCCTCATTGATTGTTAACCCATCAGGATTGATTTTCACCTGGCAAGGGCACCACCTTTTTTCCCAAAGATAAATAAGCATGCAGCAATCTCCATGGTTTTGTCTGGTCTGAGAAAGACTATTGATCTTCAATTTACTGAGTACTAGCTAGCCTAATTAATAAATTGGTTATTAATTACTCAGAAACTCTATCTCTCTGACTTTTCATTCATCTGAGGAATGACACACTTTCACCTTCTACTATTCTTCTCAATTGCCTGTGGGAAGTAATTGCCCAGCTGAGACCATGGTTCCCACCAGCCAGGTAACAGGCAGGTGTGAGGAATGTGATTTATCAATCTAAAAACATTATTGAGAATTCTATTGTTATTATGATTATGCATTCAGCAACGGTTTAGGATGCACTTCCAATGGCCAAAGTACCATGGTTAATGTTATCAAGGCAAGACAAACATTAATTCCTCTCCGTCTGGGACCTTAGGTGCCTAGGCCTTGACACTATCATTCATACATTCTGGCCTTGTCATGTTACACTGTTCTCTGACTGCTGCAACATCTGGTAATTTTGAGTCACCAAGTGATTTGTCTTGGGGAGAATGGAAGTAGGTACTCTGGAAGGCCCAAGAAACCTAGCTTGAGAGAGATCAGAGGGTCCTGTGCGCATCTCAGCATCCATGGAAGCTGTGAAGGCTCCAGGGATTGAAGACAGTTAAGGAGATTCACAAACACCATTTTTTATGCTTAAATTTTGGAAGTTTCCAAGATGAAGGAAGCAGGTGTAGAGTTTCTGGGCAGGATGGTCCTGAGAGACCCTCACTCTCAGACTCTGGTCAACATGTTTGTTTGATTTGCACCCAAGAGGTAGGAAGACGGCCCTCCTTTCCTACTCCGTCCACAGGGAACACAGAGAATAATATCTAGAAGGCAAAAGCGCCCCATAAATATGCCCTGCTCTTTCTAGCTTTTGTCTTTGTCCTAAACAGAGGCCTGTTGCATGTCTCACATTCTTCTTTTCCAAGTGAGGGGGACTGTTCAAAGTTTGAACATCGATTAGGAAAGAAAAATCTTTGCCAATAGAGAATGTGCTTATAGCTGCATGAACAACAAACCCTAGTCATTTTACAGTGCCCTACTCTGTGACTATTTAGAGATTTGGGATATTGGCCATGGGCCTGGGGAAACTGGGTTTCTTATCATCTAGGTTATTTGTGATCCTGCTTTTGCAGCTTTCTCTTTCTGAGTATCACATGGAGAATAGCCCTTGTGAAATAAAAAGAGATTACAGTCCCACATATAGAAAAGAAGGGGACTTAGTCATAGGGGGCTTCTTCTCCTTGTTTCTGAAGATAGAACATCACATAACCCAATTGTTCTTCACATATCCTCCCACCTGGATAGTTGTGGAATCAAAGTAAGTGGTTATTTTTTTTCTGATTAATGAAATACTTATTTGTTGGGAGAGTTGTGTTTTATTAAAGTCACAGCTTTGTTTGAACCAAAACCTTGGGTTTGAAAATTTCTAGAAACCCAGTATCAGGAAGCTGATAAAGTAAAAGTTTTATTAATGTGCAGTGCAGCAAGCAGAGAAATGGGGACTATCCATACCCTCCCTGTATGGCATTATAAACAGACAGAGATTCATCTCCACAGGTAACAAAAACTCACCCAGTACAAGGATGAGGGGGACACATCAGAGAGGAAATCCACTCAAACTTGGGATTCAGGTGGCAAAACAACATTCCCTCAGATTGGGCTTGATTGACACCAGTTATTGGTGCCAAATATGGGAGGAAATACTGCTTATTGGAACCAAATGTGATGAAGAAGTTCTCGAGGTCACTTGTCAATAATAGGTTTGGTTGAGATTAGGGTAGGGAGAATTTCTGCATCCTCATACAACAAACTCAGGGAAGTATTTAATGTTAACTATCTTAGGCACTAGGAAAGAGAATAAATTCAGAATACTCCAGTCAGCACAGTGTTTCATCCAGTACAAAGCTTCAAGCTTCATCTGCCTAACACAAGTGCAAAAGACAAAATCTTTGCTTGTAAAATTTGATGAGCTTCAGGACAACTGGATCTAAGTCACTCCATAATGGAGTTCTGTCATTATAAGTATAATATTCCAATACATCTAAAACACCAAATAATAGAAAGTTTACAATGACCACAACTGCCATGTCTATCATACCATTCACAAGGTTCATTAATGGCACTGAGTTTTCTTTTCTTTTTACATGTTATTTTTTAAATTAATTTATTCTGATTTGTCAATAATCACTTCGATAAGCTATCAAGTTTTAAATTTTTCTCCCCTTCCCTTCTCACCTCCCTCCCCAAGATGGCACGCAATCTGATATAGGCCATACATATACATTCTTATTAAACTTATTTTCACATTACTGATGTTGTAAGTAAGAATTCGAACCAATAGGAGGAACCACCAGAAAGAGGAAACAAAACACAACAGAAGAAAAAAATAGCAAATACTAAGCTTCAATCTGCATCCAAACTCCATAGTTCTTTCTTTGGATGTGGATAGCATTTTCCACCTTTGGAGATGTCTTAGATCCTTGCACTGCTGACAAGGGTTAAGTCTATCAACATAAGTCATCGCACAACCTGGCTGTTATTGTGTACGACTTTCTCCTGGTTCTGCTCACTTTACTCACCATCAGACCATACAAGTCTTTCCAGGTTTTTGTGAAGTCAGCCTGTTCATCATTTCTTATAACACAAT